CACACACACACACACACACCCGGTTACAGGCGGAGAGGACTTAAGGAGCTAGAGGCCCGCGTGCGAGGCAGCCCTGCCTCGCCCTAGACACAGCGCTGGGTTCGTCCCAGACTGAGTAGACCCCCTTGTCTGTCAGATGGTCTGTCCTCACCTGGGCCACCCTTCCCATCAGCATCCACTCCTGGAATAGGGCACCTGCTCTGACCCAGAGTAACCCCTCACAGAGCAGCCAGGCCCAGGTCTGGAGGCAGCAGCTCTGGGCACGGGTGTCCCGCGGTGGGTGGGTGTGGGCGATGCCTGTGCCCCTTGGGAGCAGGAGCCCGCAGGCCCTGGAGCTTGTCCGGGGGACGGCACACGTGCTCCCGCGCAGGACCCAAGTGCGTGTTTAGCCAGGATTTCCTGTCCAATAAACTTTCTCCTCGGCGCCAGGAAAACCCATCGCCTCTCCCAGACATGACCATAAGGGACATTTAGTCATTGCTGCTGTTGTCTGTCTGCCACGCCGGTGGTCTGTGTCCAGTTTAGCCCTTGAGCACCCCATCCGCCTTCGCCTCCTGGCGGGGAGACCTGAGATGCAGCGAGGCCAGCGAACACACCCGCCTGTCACAGCTGCTGAGGAACAGGGGCGGGTTCGAGTCCAGGCTTCCTCCCTCCCACTCCTCCGAAGTCTACCCCCACCCACACATTGGCAGCATCAGCTGCACTGAAACGGGCAAACCTTCATTGTGCTTTTCATCCAAAGTCCTTTTCCTGGCGCTTTCCCTCCCGGGAGCTCGCCCTGCCTTCTTCCTCCCCTCTCTTCCTCCCCCCAGCACCCGCAGGTTGCCGTTATCCAAGTCTGAGGGCCTTCCCGAGCCCCTTTCTTCTAGGGATCGCTGCTTCCCCCTCCGTGGTTTGCCCAGCTAGGGCACTTGGGGCTGCGCACCCCTGTGCAGGCTGGTCAGTGTGCAGGATTCTCAGCAGAGCTCTGCCCCGCTCACTGGGTGCCAGTAGGGAGAGCCCAGCCGGGCAGTGTGCGGTGTCCTCTGGGTGAGCACGGCCCGCCTGCCAGGTGCCATCTTCAGGCCACCGAGCAGGTGGCACTGCTGGAGGCAGGGGTTCCTCTG